TGGGCTGTTCCCATGTAATGAGGATAATTCTGATATGAATATCAGTATATTACCAGTGTATAAGTATTAGTTTGAGTGCCTGCTTTTAGTTTTTAGGGTGTGAAACCTAGGAGTGGGATTACTGGATCATATGGCAACTCTGTGTTAACTTTTCAAACTTTCAAATTTTTCCATAAAGGCTATACTATTTTCTCTTCCCACTGGCAGCATACAAAGGTTCCATTTTCTCCACATTTGTTATATTCTATTTTATCAGATTTTTCTTGATTCTTGAGATTGAATCCAGGGGCACTTTACCACTGAACTATATCCCCAGTCCTTTTTATTTTTTGTTTTGATACAGGGTATTGCTAAGTTTGATTATCTCCCTAAATTGCCCAGTCTTACCTCATACTACTTGTGATCATCCTGCCTTAGCTTCCCAAATTGCTGGGATTATAGGCATGTACCACCACACTTGGCCTTTCTTTCTTATTTTTTTTTTCCTTTCTTTTTTTTTTTTTTTTTAAATAGCCACCCTACTACATAGAGTGGTATCATTTGACTTGTAGGTTRGACATCTTTTCATGTGATTAATGGCTATTTGTGTATCTCATTTTGAGAAATGTCTATTCAGGTCTTGTGTGTGGGTTTGTGTGTATGTATGTATATGTTTTTGTGGTGTGGGAGATCAAATCCAGGGCTTTGTGTGTGCTAAGGAAGAGCTGCTACTGAGCCATACAGCTTCTTTTGTCCATTTTTTTAACATCTTTATTTAATTTATTTATTTTTATGTGGTGCTGAGGATCRAACCCAGAGCCTTGCATGTTCGAGGCAAGCACTGTATCGCTGAGCCACAACCCCAGCCCCCTTTGTCCAACTTTAATTGTTCTTATGTTGTTGAGCAATTAGTACATATTTTAAACAACTACTCGATTCTGCCATGTGACTGGATTTGAACTTTGGCCCATAGTTTGCTAACTCCTGCCTTAGATAATGTAATTTATTTATACTTCATATTATTGGTTAATAATTTTAAACTACAACAAGAAGTAGTTGTAAGTTCCTGCCACCCCAATTCTTTTTCTTTTTTTAAAAATATTTTTAGTTCTAGATGGAAACAAAACAAAATTTAATTAATTAATTTATGTGGCGCTGAAGATCGAACCCAGTGCCTCACGCATGCAAGGCAAGTGCTCAACCACTGAGCAACAACCCCAGCCCTGCTTTCTTGATTTGATGTAGTTTGGTTATTTGAGTATGAGTTATTTGACATTGTTGGGTAAGAGGGAAATGTGTATGGAAATTTAGGAACTGTTGGGAACTATATTAAAGTAACTTTGAGACCTTTGTGCACTGGAGACCATTGGAAGATTTGATTTTCCTACCTTAAATTCACCAAAGGATGCGCAGTGGAGGTTATGGTCTGTAGTTTGCCAACTCCTAATGTAAGAGACTGAAGTAATTTAATTTGAATGTGGACTTCAGTCATTTACAGGCTAGAACTAGTTCTTCATATTCAGTGATGCAGGGTCTCAACCATGTTCCTTTGCCATAACTGCTTCTCTTTAGCATCTCTGGAATTATTATTATTATTATTATTTTGTCATCTTAGTTATATGAGTTTGTGGGAAGTTCTGCTTAGTTGTTGGCCAATTCTGCTTTCAGAATTGCCGATGAGTTCAAGTAGGAAAGTATAGTGCCCTGGGGGGTGGGAATAGGAAAGATAGTAGATTGAATCAGACGTAACTTTCCTGTGTTCTTATATGAATACATGACCAATGGAACTCCACATCGTGTACAACTACAAAAATGCCAAGTTATACTCCATGTATGTATGATATATCAAAGTATATTCTACTGTCATGTATAACTAAAAAGAACAAATTTAAAAATTCAGATCTTTTCACGGAAACATAAAAAAAAAAAAGTGCCCAAAGTGCCATACTTGATTCTGTTGGCTTCCTTTTTTCCCCATAGTTTGGCATTTTTTAAAATGATAACCACTATAAGAATAGAATAATAGCCATTCTAATGGGTGTGAAGTGGTCCCTCTTTTCCAAATTTTAGTAATTTTCATTGTTTTGGGATCTCTCCCATTCTTTCTTGAAGATGTTTTTAAAACAGAGCTCTTCTAGTTTTTCTCTTCTTACTATTATAATAAAAAATTTAGTTCTGGGATCATAATCCAAGCTAATCTGTATATACAAATCTTGGAATATTATACTTTTTAAAAAATCAGATTTATTGAGGTAGTTATGCACAGTAAAATTTACCTGGTGTAAGAGTATAGTTCAGTGAGTTCTGATAAATAGTTGGGTAACCAACACCACATATTCAATATGTTGAATGTTTCATCACAGCAAAAGTTTCCTTGTATCCTTTCTAGTAATTCCCCTCAGCTCCTGGCGATCACTGATATGATCTGTCCCTATAGTTTTGGGCATCTTTTTATGAATTTATTGGTCGTTTATGTCTGTTTTTTGGCAAATATGTAGTAATTCATTCTTCTGCCTATTCTTCTTTATTTATTCTTTTTTGTGGTAGTGGGGATTACCCAGGTGCGGTCTACCTCTGAGCCATGTTCTCTCCCTTTTTAAATTTTATTTTTGAGACAGGGTCTCTCCAGTAGCCCAAAATGGCCTTGAACATGTGATCCTCCTGCCTCAGCCTCAGGTAGCTGGGATTACAGGCATGTGCCTCCATGCCTAGGTCACTTTTGTTTTTAAAATTTTAAGCAAATATGATATTGTTACAAATATTCTCACCACTTACATTGCAAATGCTATTATACTATTTTCTCCTTTTTTTCAAATTAAGAATCCCAAAATACATGTAAACAGATATTTTCTTTATTGAAAACAGGAAGATGAGCATCCAAACGTTTTGAGTTGATTTATAACAAACTCTTAATAATTTCTTCATGTGTCATTATTGAGTATGTATTAAACACTTATTCTCTATCAGGCACAGTAAAAAATACTATTGATAGTGTAAGAAGAAATTGGAACTGAGAGAATAGCTTAGCAGTAAAGCACCTGCTAATCATGCACAAGGCCCTGGGTCCAATCCCCAGCACTGCCACCCCCACCCCGCCCCCCAAAAAAGAAATTACATACAAGAAACTGGTTAGTGATTTATTTTCAGGATAAAGAAATGAAGGGTTAAGATGTACACACTCATGAGATAACATTTTTTGGTTGTTGTATGTGATGTTTATTTAAAAAAAACCTTTCTCTATGTTATCAAAACACTCATGATATTTATTTTTAAATTTCATATTATAAAGAATTACGTGGAGATGGGGTGCTTAACCACTAAGCTACATCCCCAGCACTTTTTTTGTTTGTTTATTAGAGATAGGGTCTTGCTGAGTTGCTGAGTCTGGTTATGAACTTGTGGTCCTCCTGCTTCAGCCTCCTAAGCCACTGGGATTACATGCTTGCACCACAACACCCAGCTTTGTTTTGATTTAATGGCATCATGAGATGAGATAAATGAAAAGTGTTTTTTTATATATGTAAACAGATATTTTCTTTATTGAAAACAGGAAGATGAGCATCCAAACGTTTTGAGTTGCAGGCTTGCACCACCACACCCAGCTTTGTTTTGATTTAATGGCATCATGAGATGAGAAAAATGAAAAAGGTGGTTTTTGTTTTGTTTTGTTTTTGTACTGAGGGTTGAACTGAGGGACACTGGACCACTGAGCCACATCCCCAGCCCTATTTTGTATTTTATTTAGAGACAGGGTCTCACTGAGTTGCTTAGTGCTTGAAGTTGCTGGGGCTGGCTTTAACTCGTGATCCTTCTGCCTCAGCCTCCTGAGCTGCTGGGATTATAGGTGTGCATCATCACGCTTTTTTTAATCAGTGATTTCTACCTTTGCTTTACTGTATTCCATTACTAGCCACTCATGAGGCTTTGCAGAGTCCACAGACTAAGAAATTAATTTTCAAAATGAGATTTGCACATAATTATTACTTTGTAGATGCATGCTAAACATACTGACTATGCTGAATTTTTAAGTTCTTTTTAGGTTTAACTTAGAACAAGAATTAATGTTTTAAACCAGTCACTTGATTCAAAGAAAGTAGATTTATGCTTCTAAATACCACACTTGTAATCTTATATACCATTTTTTATGATGTAATCATATGTTAAGTAGAAATTTGCTTTAGCAAGAAGGCATCTAGGGGCTGGGGATATGGCTCAAGCGATAGCACGCTCACCTAGCATGCGTGCGGCCCGGGTTCGATCTTCAGCACCACATACAAACAAAGATCTTGTGTCTGCCGAAAAACTGAAAAATAAATATTAAAAAAAAAGAAAGAAAGGAGGCATCTAACAATGAACACATTATGTAAGATTGGATATAAACTGTGCTTTTTTCCCCTCATTTACTGAAATCTTGTTTATATTTTACAACATTATATGTTATGAACTATTTATTTAAAATAAGTTTCCCCTAAATGAAATTGATTTCACTAGTATAACCTTGCAGTGGTTATAAGCATTACTGCAATGAGACAGTGAGTAAAATGGATTCTCAGTCCTAAAATTTTGAAGAACATGTGACTATATCACTCCCCCCCCCCTTGAAGATTCACATACATATTAAGATGTCAAAAGGACTCAGAAGTAGCCAGGCACGGTGGCATACACCTGTAACCCAGCATCTTGGGAGGCCAAGACGGGAGAATTGTAAATTTAAAGCCAGCCTCAGCAATGTCGAGGTGCTAAGCAGCAATTTGGAGACAGGAGATCCTGTCTCCAAATAAAGTACAAAAATAGGAAAATAGGGCTGGGAATATTGCTCAGTGGTAAAGTGCCACTGAGTTCAATCCCTGGTACCAAAAAAAAAAAAAAAAAAAAAAGACTCAGAAGTCATAGTAATGTTTTTCAAACTTATTGATCACAACCTACTTTTCTTGTAGTGTCTGTCAGTGGTATGCTTTGGGAAATAAATGGCATACTCTTCATGTTTGTGATACATACAAATAATGATTTCTATTTTGAAGCAGGACAGAAGGAGCAAGCTGTGGAATGGTATAAGAAAGGTATTGAAGAACTAGAAAAAGGAATAGCTGTTATAGTTACAGGACAAGGTAAGGTTATGTTTATATTTATTTACAGCCATCCCAAATATACAGCCATCCCCTCTTATCCACCAGGCCCCTAGTGGATGCCTGAAACTGCAGACATTACCAAGCCACATATACTATGCTAATAGCCAGCATGACTTCTTAAAGTGCAGTGTGGATATGGTGAAAAAAGGCATGATTCCTGTCCTGGGTGGGACAGACAGGACAGGGTGAGATTTTATCTTACTACTCTGAACAGGGAGCAGTTTAATACTTATTACCTGTATGTTTTTGAAATTTTCCATTTAATATTTTTGGACTGCAGTTGACCACAGGTAACTGAAACTGCTGAGAACAAAACCATGGTTGGGGACAAGGGCATATGATTTCCCTGGTTTTAAATCTATTTATCTTAATAAAGGCATTTCTAACCTTTTTGTGTGTGGTAGGGAGAAGGTCCTCGAGATTGAACCCCATTGGTACTCTACCACTGAGCTATATCCTAACCCAAAATTTTAAGATCCTCAAACTTGTGATCCTCCTGCTTTAGAATCCCGAGTTGCTACAAATACAGACATGCACTACTGCACCTGGTTAAATATTTTTAGATGTTAATATTAACATTGGTAGACATACAGTTTATTACCTATTCTAAAAATGAAGTTGTAACCAATATGCACAAACTTGTTTACCCATAGTAGTCAGGCAACAGCTACTATATTACTTGTGTCCTTCTTAGAGTTTTCTATTGGTTATCAGACATATATTTTAGCCCTGTTTTTGACACCCAGTCCTTTCTTTATTGTCAAGGAGAAAAGGAACAGTTAATCCACAAATGCCCTTTGCACTTGTGTGTAATGCTCCTCCAGCCCCGTACTGGAGATTGACCCCAGGATCTTGCACCGTGCTAGCCAAGTGCTCTACCTTTTAGCTACATCCCCCAGCCTGATAATACATCTTAACTGTATGTTAGTTAGTAAATGTCTTATTTTGATTTATATTTGGCTTTTAAAAACAAAACCAGCCAGGCACAGTGCTACACACCTGTCATCTCAGCAACTTGAGAGACTGAGGCAAGAGGATCCATCTCAAGTGTGAGGCCAGCCTGGTCAATTTAATGAGACCCTGTCTCAAAACAAAAAATTTTAAAAAGGATTAGGGATATAGCTCAGTGGTAGGGTACCCTCAGTACCAACAAAACAAACCCAAACCAGTTATTTCTCATCTTTTCTATTACATCAAATTAAAATTAGAGCTCTGGCCAGGCATGGTAGCACGCACCTGTAATCCCAGCAGTTCAGGAGGCTGAAGCAGGAGGATTACAAGTTCAGAGCCAGTCTCAGAAACTTAGTGAGGCTGTAAGCAACCTAGTGAGACCCTGTCTGATAAAGGGCTGCGAATATGGCTAAGTGGTTAAGTGCCCTTGGGTTCAACCCTGGTACATACATACATACATACATACATAAAATTATAGTCTAATATCTTTAAATACATTTATTGCATACTTTACCACATGCCCAAGCATCATTTTTTAAGTGCTTCATATGCAGTATCTTTTTTTTTTTTTTGTAGTTGTAGACTGACATAATGCCTTTATTTTATTTGTTTTATTTTTATGTGGTGCTGAGGATCGAACCCAGTGTCTCATGCACGCTAGGCAAATGTTGTGCCACTGAGCTACAGCCCCAGCCCTGTAGTATCTCTTAATTTTCTCTACAATTCAATGCTCTGTAGCTGTTAGTATCTTTATTTTTCAGATGAATAACCTGAAGTATAGAGAAGTACATTACTTAAGGTCTCTTGGCTAGCAAGTGATAAAGTCATGATGTGAACCCAAGCAGTAATTGATAGTCAAAGCCTGAATTCTTAAATAACATGTAATGAGTGTAGTATAGTATGTGAGTGACACTGTTAAATAGAGACATGTTACTTAATAGCAGGAATACATTCCAATAAATGTGTCATTACACAATTTTCTCATTGTGTGAACATCTCTGAGCATACTTACACAAACCTGGATGATACAGATCAATCATTCTATATGATTTTTGATGCAATCAAAGGATAATGGTAAACATGAGTTATGTGAGATTGCTACCTGTATAGTAGTGAATTTTTTTAATATATATTTTTTAGTTGGAGATGGACACAATACCTTCATTTTATTTATTTTTATGTGGTGCTGAGATTCGAACCCAGTGCCTCATGTGCGAAGGCAAGYGCTCTGAAACTAAGCCACAATCCCAGCCTCAGTAAATTTTTTATAACTAAAGAAAGTATAATATAGAAGTGTGGTAAATAAAACAATAGCATAGTTTTTTGTTATTAACAAGTATTATTTATACTATATGAACTATATTTATATACTACTGATAGCAGAGTAGGTTTGTTTATACCAGCTTCTTTGGAACTTTTGTCATGTGTTTAGCTATTGTTAATCAAACTGACATTATGCAGCACATGACTATACTTCAGTTTATCATAGCTAAAATACATTCAGAAGCAAAAAGTATAATATTAAGTTACAAAAAAATTCAGTATTTCAGTTAAGAATCAGTAGATGTTTTTGGGTAGCTAGATGACTCTACTATCTAATATTAGTTAAACTCTAGTAATTGTAATGTGTCCAGTATCTACCCTGTTTTCTTCCTTTCCCTTTTATATTTTGACTACTTCTGTAGCTACTGGTCTCCTGTATAAGAGAAAGCAGAATAAAACATAAATATGGGTGTGTAGGCCTTTGAGAGACTTTAAAGAACATGACTATGAATTATGTGAAAAATATATTTGCAGCTGTCAACTACATGGAGAATATTAGAAGAAAATTAATTTGTTATAAGAAAACCAGTATTTCATCAATAAAAAATGCCTTCTGTTGCATCACAAAGAGAAAAAACTGTTAATTGAACTATGATACAGTTTCTATTTAGGGATTAGAATTTTGATTTCAATTTTATTGAGTAGAATGTATTAGTCTTAATTTGCTATAGTAATAGTGTTAATGTCTGTGACAGATGTGTGCATGGACAGGCAATGACAAACTATGTTCTGACTGCAGCCAGGTTGATAGCATTAGTAAGTTGGCCATGATGATAAAATGAATCCCAATTTGAAATGTGGGTAAGAAATATCATAGGTTTCATTAAAAAAAAAAAGTGATAGGTTTCATGAATTGTGTATGAAATACATAACCACAGTAGGTCAGAACCATCATTACATGGCTTCAATAGTATTATTTGAAAATATCAAAATTTATTAGCTATTATTTGAGCACATTAATTTCTTTGTAAAGACTTTGACTCTTCTTAATTAAATTGGGCTGATCTATTATCTGGAAACAATATTAGTAGAGAAAGGTAGATATTTTAATTCATCTTTTTTTGTTTGTTTTCTTTTTTAGGTGAACAGTGTGAAAGAGCTAGACGCCTTCAAGCTAAAATGATGACTAATTTGGTTATGGCCAAGGATCGTTTACAACTTCTAGGTATCAGTTAATGTGTAATTGGATATGAGATGTATTTGAAATATATGTTTAATGAATGTCTTAATTGTAGATAGAAGTAGATTAGTAATTGAAATGTGGCCTAAGCTTTTTTTTGTTTGTTTGTTTTAAATATGCTCAGGGTTTCCAAACATAAACTAAATCAGAAAGAAGAATATTTCTAAGTGTCTATTAGCTTTGATAATAATCAGTTCATGGCCATTCTTGATTTATTCATATCAGGGGCAGGCAAACTGCAGTCAATGGACAAACCCAACTTGCTGCGTATTATTATGATAGCTTTATCGATCACACAGGCACTTCTGTTTCTCTTTTTTTTTTTTTTTTAAGAGAATTTTTTTTTTTTAATGTTTATTTTTTAGTTTTCGGCAGTCACAACATCTTTGTTTGTATGTGGTGCTGAGGATCGAACCCGGGCCGCACGCATTCCAGGCAAGCGCACGAGCCACATCCCCAGCCCAACACTTCTGTTTCTTTATGTATTAGCCGTGACTTTCATGCTACAGTGTCAGAATGGAATAATCCATACAGAGATCATACAACCCTCAAAACCTAAAATATATAATACCTGGTCTTTTATAGAAAAAGTTTAATATATAGGACTACCTGCTTTGCTTTTCTTCTTGCATTTTGTGTGTTGAAACCAGGTCTTTGTCATATAGTTTTCCCTGCATTCTGACTGTTGTTGCATACATATGTGTGGTGTTTTTAATTTTTATTTATTTATTTATTTATTTACTTACTTACTTACTTAGAGAGAGAGAGAGAATTTTAATATTTATTTTTTTAGTTTTCGGTGGACACAACATCTTTGTTTGTATGTGGTGCTGAGGAATCAACCGGGGCCGCACGCATGCCAGGCGAGCGCTCTACCGCTTGAGCCACTTCCCCAGCCCTGTATGGTGTTTTTTAACATGCTTTTCTGTCTTTCCTGTAAATTGATTGTTGAATATAGAACACTGATTAGATTGAAAGTTGATTTTAATTTTTTAATGACAGGACTTCTTCATAGATGGCTATATATGTGTTCATCAGTAGTTCTTCCATCTTCTTATAAGATGAGCAGAAGTTAACTAAGGCCTGATGACGTTTTAATTCTATCATTCTGTCAGAATTCATTAGCTGAAATGATATAAGGTTTTTTTTTTTTCTGTTTGTTTTTTTTTTTTTTGGGGGGGGAATACCAGGGATTGAACCCAGAGTCATATCTGCAACCCTTTTTGGGGGGGGGTACTAGGGATTGAATTCAGGGATACTCGACCACTAAGCCACATCCCCAGCCCTATTTTTTATTTTATTTTGAGACAGGGTCTCACTGAAATGTTTAGCACATCTCTGTTTAATCTAATTTTTAAATAAGGCTAATAGATAATATCTACCTCCTATTTGTGACCATTGTGTTATTGAAGGAACTTAACCTATAATAAGTACTTTTAAAATGTTGAGGATTTTTCAGCTGTGCTGGTGATCAAACCCAGGGCCTTTCACAAGGTCAGCAAGCATTCTACCACTGAGCTAACCTCCAGCCCCATAATATTGGTTTTTATTTTTATTTTTTTTAAATCTGTCTACCTCCCCTGCTTTAGTAGAAAAATATTTACATGTCTGTGTACTTATTTACTTATTTTGTAGTTGTTTTTTTTTTTCCCTATGTAGTTAAAAAACCAACCTTCACTACAGAGGGCTAACAAGATAATGTTCCCTGACTTCTGTGGCTGAAAGGGTTTTCCTTTTTACTTCCTTTATAAAGGCTATTATATATCAAATATAATTAAAAGTTAGGGCTGGAGAATGGTACAGTGCTTGCCTAGCAGGTGTGAGGCCCTGTGTTTGATCCCCTGCAATACACATATGTCATGTGTGTGTGTTTATATATAATAAAATATTATATCAAAGGTTGTCATAGTAAAATAGTTAATTGTTCTAGTAGGTAATTTATATGTGTTTTAGCTATGAAGCCTTTCAAAGTATATTTAAAGTGTCATATATGATGCAGAATAAATATGATTATGGAACAGTTTGTAACATGTTTCAAATTGAATGGGTTGACTTTTATCTTTTATTTAAAGTTCTGATACAGTATAATATTAAAAGTATATTGTCAATTATAGACCTCTTTTTCCCCTTCTTGTTTTGGGGGATTAAACCCAGACCTTTACATATACTAAGCATGTTCTCTAACTGAGCTATATCCCCAGCCATTTTTATTTTGAGATAGTATCTTGCTAAGTTGTCCAGGTTGGTCTTGAGCTTGAGATCTTTCTGCCTCAACTTTGTGAATAACTAGTATTGCAAGCATGAACCACCACACCCAGCTGTATATATGCTTATTTTTCAATGTGACTTTGTAACTTATTTGCATTATTAGAAGATAGGACAAAAAGAATACAACATAAAGCTAGCTATTAAAATAATACTTTGTATGTTTTGAAATGGGTATCTGTTTTCATTCTCAAAAAAATATTTATAAAAGATATTACTTGCATATTGCAGTGTTAGGGATCAACCCCACAGCCTTATACATATTAGGTAATGAGAGAGATGTTACTTTAAAAATAGAGAGGAGATACCAGGTGTGGTGGCACGTGCCTGTAATCCCAGAAACTCTAGAGGCTGAGGCAGGAGGATCACTGTTGGAATAGCAACAGTATTATTCAGTGTTAATCAGGAATATCMCAAGTTGGAGGCCAGCCTCAGCAACTCAGCTAGACCCTGTCTCAAAATTTTAAAAATGGGCTGGGGATGTAGCTCAGTGATAAAGCACCTCTGGGTTCAAGCGCCAGTACAAAAACAAAAATAACAACAACAACAACAAAAAAAAACCTGCAGAGGGTGGATCAAAAAGCAGACATTAACATATTCCTGTCTTCCAAGAACTGACAAGGTGTGGGAGTGGTGATACAAAAGTAGTAAAATAAACAAAAAACTGTACAGTTGCATAGTAAAGCATATTTGTGTTAAAATCTATGCTGGTTAAAAATCATTTTCCTAGAGGTGTGGTACCAGATGAATGGGGAGAATGATCCTGTGAGTTCCTCAAACAGACTGGTTTGAGAGGGAACAGCCTCTCTGATAAAGGTGGGGAGACTTTATTTATCTTGGGGTTAGTGATAATGAAAGCTAGAGTAAAGCTTAACTGCATAAGAAAGATAATTTGGCATTAGCATTTTGATATTCCTGATGGTTACACTTCATTAAACATCAGTTTTCTTATGTCTCTCTGTTCTATGCTAGGTATAGTGCCAAGAGATATAAACTGAATTTACTTGTTAACTCAGCAAATACTTGATGATGACTATGTGGTAAGCTCTGTTTTAGGCATTTGGGATATAGACAAGGATCCGACCTCCATAGAGTTTGTATTCCATCCAGGAGAAGACAGTATTTGAAAACATAAATGATAAGTTAAACAGTATTATAGAGGAAAAGTAAAACAGTAGGAGTGGATTGGGAGGTGCTTTGAGTTTTTAGTTTTGAACAGGATGGTCAGGGTATTCTTTTTTGTGAAGGTGATATGAGTTACGCAGGAGGATATGTAGGAGAAGAATGGTTACAGAGAAGTAAGCGCCCGTGCCATTCCTTGAAGGAACATACCTGGTATGTTTGTGAAGCAGTAGAGACCACTGTACGTACAAGTAAAGTGTTAAAATAGATGAGGTCAGAGAACTAATGGGGGCAGAGGCTGTCATAACACATGGGGCTTGGATAGGCCACCATGAGGATTTGAATTTTTACGATCTGTGAAAAGAAGAGCAGCTATAAGGAATTGGGAGAAAGAAATGGCATAAGCTGGCATAAGACTTAAGTTTTAGGAATATTGCTCTAATTGTCGGGTTGCATGTAGACTATGAGGGATGAACCAGGGAGATCAGGTAGGACACTGTTACGACAATCTGAGAAAAATAATGGTGGCTTGGGCCAGCATGTAGTAAGAAAAAATGGCAATAGGTAGTTGAATTATAATATTTGAAGGTTGAACAATTTACTGGTATATTGGTTGCAGTTCTTCTGTTTAAGGATCTTATAATGGGAGAAACAGACACAAAAGTCATCATCATTGTATGTAGCATGAGCATATGTACATATTTTATAGGGGTAGAAAACAGATACCTGAGAAAGCAACCTAGAAGAAGTGAAATCTAAAATGCAGATATTAAAAGATAAATAAAAGTTATTAAATAACTCAAGAAAAGACATCTCTGGAAGAAACAGCAGCTTGAACAAAGTCTCAAGGGCAGGGTTGGGGATATAGCTCAGTTGGTTGAGTGCTTGCCTCACATGCACAAGGCCATGGATTCAATCCCCAGTACCACACACACACACACACAAAGAAAAAAACGGGTTGGGCTGGAGTTGTGGCTCAGTGGCAGAGCGCTTGCCTAGCATGTGTGAAGCTATGGGTTCGAGTCTCAGCACTGCATATAAATAAATAAAATAAAGGTCTATCAACGACTAAAAAAAAAAAATATATATATATATATATATATATATATAGAGAGAGAGAGAGAGAGAGAGAGAGAGAGAGACAGACAGACACACTGACACTCAAGGGCAAGAAATAGCATGATGAGTAGGGAAATGTAGGTGCTGATAGAGCATAAAGTAGAGATTACTCAGCATAGGAGATGGAGACAGATCGTGGATGACCTGGATTATCATTTAAAGGAGCTTGAGGTGCAGTCTGGGCATTTGGAAGTCATTAAGGGTTTTAAGAAGAAGGGTTACGTGTTAATATTCTCCCTCAGAGTATATCAAATAGATGATTATGTAGGGATTGGGTATGGGTAGTTCATGAATCACTGTTTTAATTAATTATTTTTAAAAAATTATTTTGTGGTACTCGGGATAGAACCCAGGATTCATGCATGCTAGGCAGGCACTTCACCATTGAGCTATATCCCCAGCCCATCACTGTTTTAATTTAAATCATCAATTAGTCTGTAAAACCAATTCATTCTAAAAAGAAACAGTATTTTTTGGGAGTGGGGGGTGCTGGGGATTGAACCCAGAGTCTTGTTCTGTTAAGCAAATGCTCTACCACTGGGCTACATCCCCAGTTGTTTACCCTTTTTTTTTTTTTTTTTTTAACAGAAATGAATTGGAGTAGAATCATAGTAGCAGTATACTGCTATAGTGTATGTGTATGGTTCCACACAAATAAATATAAACTCTTTGTACTTAAAAAAAGCAAGTTCTATGACTTTTGTTCCCAATTAATGTGAAAAGAAACTGTTTAATTACTGTTTACTGTATCATGAATGTCTGTGAACTTTTTGTTACATTTAATTGAAGTGAGTATTAACTGATAAAGATGACTTATACAGATCAGTATTTTTTTTCTAATTTATGCTCTTAACACAAGTGGACTGTGTCTCATTATGGCAATTTAAAGAGTATTATTGAGAAAAATCAAATGACCTACCTGTTAGCTAAGCAAAAAAAAAAAAAGTCTCCAAGGTATATTGTATCAGCCAGTTCTAGAATACAAAAGGTGTGCAGTACTTTGTGCTTTGTGTAGAAAGGGTAGCTGCTATTTAACCTGTCCCAGAGGCATGTGTTGTTGTACCATAAACCAAGCATGGCGCCTGCTTGTCTGACCTTAGAAATAAAAGTTTGAGTTAGTATGTATGAGCTACTCCCCTGCCCCCTTTTATATTCTGGAGATCAAATCCAGGGTTTTGTGCATGGTAGGTAAGTGCTCTATCACTGAACTAAACCTCTACCCTCTGTGCTGCAGTTTTAAATGTGTTCAATGACTTGCTAGTAAAGAAAATAAACTGTTATGGGAACTTGGACTATTCAGCAAAATAAACATGATAAAAACAGCCTCTATTACAGGTGAAGCAGAGTACCTACTTTATTATGTACATTATCTAATCTTTGAGAATTCTTAGAAAACTGAGGTTAAAAGCATGGTCGTATCATTAGTAAGTGGTGGAGCAAAGTATGCATTAGCTATCATATTAGATTGACTAATAAGAAAGAGAGTGCAACAGTGGTGGAGAATACCAAAAATCAAACTGCTGCTTTCTTGGGCTTTTGGTGTCAGATTTAGAGACTCAAGACAGTTGCAGGGTTTTTGCTGTTTGAGGTAGAGGTAGGATTGAAATAATCATGAATTGATTTATTTAATAAGTATTACCATATACACACATGCCACAAAATTTTAAAAATTCAAGTATGAATGGCATCCATTTTGAACTCTGCCCCAGCCACCCATTCCCCTCCTAAGAGGCAGCTGCATTACCAGTTTCTTAGGGTCCTTTTTAGAGTCAATCTTCCTATATACAACTGCACATGTATGTTTAAACAAATGGTTGGGTACTAAACACAAACTTCTGCAGCATGCTCATTTCACTCTGCTTTATTGCCTTTGTTTTTTTGGCTGACTTAATGTTAGTTCATGTAACCAAATATAGCATTTCTTACTCATTCCTTTTGTTTCCTTTTGTGTAATTTTAAGTGCTTTTCTCTCCTGAAATGTCCCTTCTTTTTATCTTTTCAAATCTTAGCCAACTTATCGTTGACTTACTCTGTAAAAACTTTTCAATGATGTCTTCTATACTACTTAGTCCTTTTTAAAAAATATTGTTATTTGCCAATTATATTTAGTAAGTTTATGGATGGTAGAGACCATATTCATTTTTTTATCTGATACTTTCCCAACACAGTTGATTTGAATGTATGTGATAATTCAATAAATATTTGCTGGGAGTAATGCTGGTATGTAACTGTTCAGGTTGCCAAATCTGAATAAGTCATATTTTGAACATAACCTTTCACCTGTTGGTTTCTGTTGCTATTTTCATGTCTTGAGTTTTTACTAATTACGTTTTTGAAGAGTATTTATATAAATGGAAAAACTCTTCATCATAAAATAACCTTGTAACGCCTTGAATAATATTTCATTTTCACATGCAAATTTTATTTCATTATATTTTTTCTTTTTGTTTATTTTGTCCTTTTTTAACCCCCTCTATTGCATAGAGAAGCTGCAACCAGTTTTGCAATTTTCCAAGTCACAAAYGGACGTCTATAATGACAATACTAACTTGACATGCCGAAATGGACATCTTCAGTCAGGTAGGTTTAGGTTAACTAACATAAAATAATAAAAGCTTGTGTACAAACTAGAGTCTTACTTAATCTGATAACATTGATTTGCTTTTATATTGGAAGATTGAATTGTTTTTTGTTTTCATAGGGATGTGTTGAAAACATATATATCTGTCATTGATAGTGTATTTGAACACGTAAAAATAAAATACAGCCTTTCTAAACATTTTTTGCACGTTTTGCAAATTCCAATTTTTGAGATTATAAAATGAGTATACATTCTCTTAAAATATTCTTGTTTCTATTGTCTTAAGTTTTTGTATTTTTTTATGAATAGCTGTACCAATTTTTGGTGAAAGTTTAAGACAGATTTTAATTTTTCTTTATCAATTTTCATTGCATTTCAGAATTTCTGTATTTTATACATGAACATTTTAGAAAAAATTTGAAACATCACATTGAGGAGAAACATAGTAATATTGTTACTATGGAGTAATCTTTTTTCCATGAACTTTTAGATATCAGTTCCTGTGGAAGATTAAATGTTTTGTTTGTTTGGTTGGGTTTGATTGGGAGAAACTTCATTTCCTAGACACTCTAATATTTCAGCTCGGTTTTTCTTTTTCTTTTTGTTGTTTGTTTGTTTGTAGTGCTGGGAATGGAACCCAGAGCTTCATGCTTGCTAAACATGCAGTCTACCACTCAGCTACTCCCCCAACCTTCTCAGCTAGTTATTTTGGTGACTTTTTCAGCAATAGTTTAATGTCCAGGGCTTAAATTTTACTAAAGTAAATATTACTTTGATCAAATTATAGTAGAAAAAACTTAGGCTGTAAGACAATTGCATTTTTTATTTATATGTAATTAACAACTTTTAAGGTTTTAATGAGAAGAGGTAGAATAAATGGATTTCTGTGGAGAGAAGAAATAGCTGGTCATCAGCTCTTTTTCCTTGTGACTTTACCTCTGCCTTTTTTTTTTTTTTTAAAGAGAGAGTGAGAGAGGAGAGAGAGAGAGAGAATTTTTAATATTTATTTTTTAGTTCTTGGCGGACACAACATCTTTGTTGGTATGTGGTGCTGAGGATCGAACCTGGGCCGCACGCATGCCAGGCRAGCGYRCTACCGCTTGAGCCACATCCCCAGCCCACCTCTGCCTTTAAGGAGTTCTCACTGTGGTTTAGTCTTCCAGTACAGAGTCAGTGACTGTATTCCTCTGCCCATTCTTTCCTTTGTCTGATTTAAAATGCCATTTCAAGTATAGATGTTAGTATTTTGTGTGTTCTCTTAGCATGGCTATGAAGGCATGACATTTTCATAAAGAACTTTAAAACAAAGAAATGTGAGAATGTACCACATACAGACAGTTAAATTTCCAAAGTACATATTTGAGATCTTAATACTTTTATCAGGATAAACAGTAAAAATTTTCTATCCTTGAAAAACTAGTATGATAACTAGTAAGTATGTTATCATAATTGTCTTCTACTTCATTGAACATGTTAGATCCCGTTACATTTTTATGTCATGCCAAAAAAGTAAAGAAAAGGCAATATATTTTCTTCCTGGCACTCATTTTAAAAGCATCAAACTTTGTCTTATTTCAAATCCCAATAATCTGTCCCACTGATTCTGTATTCTTATTGGAGGGACGTTAACTTCACAACTAATTTATATAGTGTTGATATTTGATATGCAGTAATCCCTAGTGAATGAACTGTCTCACTGAGACCTAATTTATTAATATCATTCACTTCTGGAATATTATATACTTGAATGATTTATTTCACCTCTTTTTGAAAGAAATCATACCTGTCTACTCAATACTATAATGTGTTATTTATAGTATCCAATTTTCAATTCAAATTACTAGACATGTAAAGAAATCAGGAAGTGCCAGGCGTGGTGGTCCACACTTGTAATCCCAATGACTCCTGAGTCAGAAGGATAACAAGGTCAAGGCCAGCCTGGGCAACTTAGTGAGACCCTATCTCAGAATAAAAAGGGATGGGGATGTAGCTCAATGGTACAGCACCTCTGGGTTCAATCCCTAGCCCAGGAAAAAGGGAGGGAGGGAAGAAGAGAGACGGAAGGAAGGAACGAAGACCCTTACTCAAAAAAGATAGTTAATAGAAATTGAGTAGACTCAGATGTTGGGTTTAGCACTGTAAAGCACTTATTATCAATACAAAGAGTTAAAAGAAAATGTGACATTTAACAAGCAAGTATTCTCAGCAGATGATATAAACTAAGCAATAACAATAATGAGAAGCTGGGCACGGGGGTGCATGCCTGTAATCCCAGCAGCTTGGGAGGCTGAGGCAGGAGGATTGAGCGTTCAAAGCCAATAAAATATAAAATAGGGCTGGGGAGGTGGCTCGGGTCAAGTGCCCCTGCGTTCAATTCCCAGTACAACGCCCCCCCCCAAAAAARAAAAAAAACCAATAATAAGAAATCTTAGGGTTGGGAGTATAGTTGTAGGTCAGTGGTAGCAGTGGTAGAGCACTTGATTAGTATGCATGAGGCTCTGGGTTCTATCCCTGCACTGTAAGAAGAGGAATTGAAAATAATGAATAGTCTAAAGTTGGAAAGTATGGTTACTAAAATGAAAATTGAAAATGTGCTATTTAATCCTAACAGATTGAGACTGTCTACAGAATGATTCAGTGATATTGACCCTAAGTCAACAGAAATTACTAAATCAGTTGACTCCTGTAGTGTCAGAAAGCAAATTAATGGTTGCCTTGGACCAGCGGAGAAAGTGACAGGGAATAGCGTACCAGTGAACATGAGGAAACTTTCTGCTGGGATGGAAACATTTTATTTCATGATTTTTAGTGATTATTTCACTAACATATCTTAATGATATATATCTTTTTTAACTCTAAGTTGTTACTTTAATGGATGCGGTTCATTATTTGTAAACGATTATACTTCATAGTTGATTCAAAAATATTCAAAGGCTTATGCTGAAAAATAATAATCCCCTTATCTCTTTCTAGTTTTGCAGTACGAGGGATTGAACTCAGAGCCTTGAACATGCTAAGCAAGCACTTAACCACAGACCTACATCCCCARCCCTTTTTTATTTTGAGATGGGGTCTCATCTAGTTGTCTGGGCTGGCCTTGAACTTGTGATCCTCCTTTCTCAGCCTTCTGAGTGTCTGGCATTACATGTGTGCACCGCCACACCCAGCAACTCTGTTAGTCTTTCTATCTGAAAAAAATGCCTTCATTCTTACAACACAAGTGGCTTTTCTTTTCCCTGGACATTTTGAACATACTTATTGCCTAATGATATTTGGTATGTTTGATGAAAAGTGTGTTGTCATTCTCATAGGTGTTCCTTGAGAAACAATAATGAGAAGTCTTGAGGCCGGGGGTATAATGCTAGAGCACTTGACTAGTATGCATGATGCTCTGGGTTTGATCCCCAGCACTGCAAGAGGAATTGAAAATAATGGATAGTCTAAAGTTGGAAAGTATGGTTACTAAAATTAAAATTAAAAATTTGCTATTTAGCTATGAAATTTTTATTCATAGTCTGACTATGAAATTTCTATTTATAGTCCCAGGACTATATATTTTCTGTCTGAAGAAATTCTTCATTTTCCTTTTTTTCCCCCTCTGAAATACTGTTTAGTACTACTCCAAAGAGGTCTTGCCTTTTTCCCCCCTACATCTTGGCTTTTATTTAAGTTGTTCCCTTTTCTGGAATGCTATCCTGCTTCTTTGCAAGAGTCAATATCTAATTAGCTCCTTGAATGTACCTTTCAGAATGTTACATTTATGTAAAAACCTTTTGATAAACTTTATTCTCAAATTCCCTGATTTTTGAGTTGTCTTATCATTTGAATATATATTTTCTGATTATTATAAATTATATTTGTCCTCTGTTTCTTTTCTGTAGATTGAATCTGTTTTTGTAGATACAAACTATATTTCCATTTTTTATTTTTTCTACATTTAGTATACTATACTTATTGGCCATTCGATACATTTGTTTTTGTTTTTGTGGTACTGGAGATTGAAGTCAGGGGCACTTTATCTCTGAGCTACATCCCCAGCTCTTGTTATTTTTAAATTTGAGACACGGTTCTCATTAAGTTGCTGAGGCTAACCTCCTRTCTCATCCCCTCCACCTCAAATTTCTTGGTTTACAGAGGTATGCCACTGTGCCCAACTACTTGTTAGTTTAATTAAATGGATCCCTAATCTTGAAATCTTGAGTTAGGAATGGTTTTACTTCCTGTGGTGACTAAAATAATTCCAAAAGTCATGAACGTTTATGTCTTAGAAAAACAATTCAAGATAATAAAGTGGGTCTATAATGATCCTCAGGATTTTCATAAATTTGATTATCATAATATAAATGAATGACTCAAAGTTGATCTAATATTATAAATATTTGTGTACATGGTTAAAACTGTCTCAATGCTATATATATATATTCTACTTGTCTTAGAGGTCCTGATTTTAGTCCTATAGTGCCAATTAAAAATTCAGTCTTAAGGTTCAGATCCTCATTTGAAGGTATCCTGAAGGTAAGGTTTTTTAAAAATTTGAATTTTATTTAGTCTTTTTGATTTTATAACAGTTTACCTGAGATAAACTACTTGGTTCTCTAAATAAATAAGCTAATTTCTGGGGTTGGGGTTATGACTCAGCGGTAGAGCACTCGCCTCGCAAGTACAAAGCCCTGGGTTTGATCCTCAGCACCACATAAAAATAAATAAATAAAGTAAAGGTATTGTGTCCAACTATAACTACAAAATAAATAAATAAATACTTTTAAATAAGCTAATTCCTTATACTAGTTTAGAGTGCTTTGTTTCCTTAAACCATATTAAGGGATTTGATGACATAAAATAGGCTTTGTCTTTTCTCTTGGCCAGTCTAATTTGCTCATTGATATAATGTTTATATTTATAATAAACATTGCTATTAATAAACACTGACAGTTGCTATGTAAATCTATAAAAATATTATTTAGAAGCAGTAAAATTTTAACACTATATCATAATTCATATAGGGAGTATCAAAGAACTGGTAGCCTTCTGACTTAATCAGAGGCTTTCTATAAATGTACTGCACATAAAATACTTGGTGTGTTAAAAGTCACAACTTGATACTCTTTCTTTTTTTCTTTCTTTTGGGTACTGTCCATTGAACCCAGGACCACATCCCCAGCCCTTTTTTAATRTTTTATTTAGAGACAGTGTCTCACTGTGTTGCATAGGGCCTGTATAAGTTACTGAGGCAGGCTTTGAACTGGTGATTCTCCTGCCTCAGCATCCTGAGCCACTGAGATTGATACTTTTTCAATATCAGTTAATTCAGAAAGTTCTTATAGTGGGCACAGGCTGAACTTTCATAGTAGTTTATAGTTGTTTTGGACCTTTAATGATTTATATGTGGTGTTGAGAATTGAACCCAGTGCCTCACATATGCCAGGCAAGGGCTCTACCACTGAGCTACAACTCCAGCCCCTTAGAAATACATTTCTTTATATAAAAAAAAATTAGAATATGCATCAAAAACAGGAAAAACTGAGTAATAATATTCCCGTTCACCCACTGAAAACCAGGACACCTTGGTATACATTCTAATTGAAATCTTATTTTTAAATATTTCTGAATGTAAAAAAATATTATTAGCTTTGTTTTGCAAATTTTTACTTGTCCTTATTAATACTTTTAAATTTTTTTAGCCACTATTTTCTAATGATGGTGGTTTTGCTTTTTCCTTGATAGAAAGTGGAGCTGTTCCAAAAAGAAAAGATCCCCTAACACATGCTAGTAATTCACTGCCTCGTTCAAAAACTGTTCTGAAAACTGGATCCACAGGTCTTTCTGGTCACCACAGAGCACCTAGTTGTAGTGGTTTATCCATGGTTTCTGGAGCAAGACAAGGACCTGGTCCTGCAGCTGCCACTCATAAGGTATCCTAGGACAGCAACTTTAATGATGTGTTTTTACAAATAGAAACTTTAATGTTATACTTGCTTAAGTTTATTATAAGTACTTACTTTACAGAATTTATGTTTCCACAAAGTTAAACATATAATTTTTTAATCTGCAAAGGTATCTTGCTATGAAAAAACAAATCTTTTTTATCTCCTCTTTTGGACCTAATTGAACATTTTTTTTTAAAATTAAGTTCACTTATCCAGCCTATTGAATGAAATTAGTGATCTACATACACACACATATCAAATATGTACATTATATATATCACTTAGTTTATTTTTAAAAATTAATTTATGCACATATTAACAAGGATCAAAATTATATGACTATGTTGTCGTAGGGCCTTTTTCTTTTATAATAACTAAATCTCTTGGGATAATTTCTTTGTAAACCCTCTTTATGCCAGATGTTATTCAGTAGTGAATATATTTTAACCCTGGGTGAAATATATAATTTTGGGGAGTTTTATATAATTTTTCCTATTTTAATCCTTGAATCCTGTGAATTTTAAGATCAATGATAGATTGTATTTTCACATTAAATTTTTATATCCTTTAAGGGTACTCCGAAAACAAATAGAACAAATAAGCCTTCTACCCCTACAACTGCTCCTCGGAAAAAGAAAGACTTAAAGAATTTTAGGAATGTGGACAGCAACCTTGCTAATCTTATTATGAATGAAATTGTGGACAAGTAAGTTTTATTTTCTATAGTATTTCATTTTACAGTTTCTATATTAAAGTTTTATGTATAAAATGTGTCATAAGTGAAATGGTAAATACCTTATGTGATTTACATACTAAATGTTTATGCTGGCTTTCATTTATAAATGTAGAAAATAATTTTTGCTAATTAATTCAACTGTAGTTTCATAACATAAAAATGTCTTCATAGGGGCCCAGGTTGTGGTTCAGGGTTAGAGTGCTTGCTTCGCACGTGCAAAGCACTAGGTTTGACCCTGGCACCGCATAAAAATAAACAAAAATAATTTTGGGGAGTTTTATATCATGTCTGTCTACAATTAAAAAAAATGTCTTCATAGAGTTTATATTTCATAATTGTAATATCTATATTTCTGTTGTGAAATTAATTGAGTTATTGTTTCTTAGTGGAACAGCTGTTAAATTTGATGATATAGCTGGTCAAGAGTTGGCAAAACAAGCCTTGCAAGAAATTGTTATTCTTCCTTCTCTAAGACCTGAGGTAAGGGCTTTATTATATTGTCATTTTSTTATAATACCATCCATTGCTAAATCTGTTGTTGTATTACATATTTGGGCTATGCTAGAATGAATGATACATATAGGATAATCGTTGATTTAGTGTTTTTAAAAAGACATCATTAGCAACTGATGTTGGCAAGTTATTATTATAAGAGAATGAATGTGAGTGCCTAATTCCAAATCCTCCCGCCACCCCCCGATTTTTTTTTTCTGGTATTGGGGATTGAACCCAGGGCATTTTGTCATTGAGCTACATCCCCAGCCCCCTTTTTTTTTTTTGAGACAGGGTCTTGATAAGTTGCTTCCGGCCTCACTAAGTTGCTAAGACTGGCCTCAAACATGGGATCCTCCTGCCTCAACCTCCCGAATTGCTGAGATTACAAGGCATGCAACACTGCACTTGGCCTAAAGCCATTTTTAACTTTTGTAGAAAAATGGATAGTATGGTATAATATTTATATGAAGGTGAAAGGTTTAAAATTATGGTATAAAAATCATACTAAGAGAAGAAATTAAGATAAAAATAATTCTTTAAGTTTGAAGAATAATCTTTAAAAAAAATTTTAGAGTATTAAATCATTAAATAGATGGGGAGAGTTAGCCAATGATGTATAAGGATCTAACCTTCCATCTTATATTTTGAGACTCATTAGGAAGGTGAGTTATTGCAATTGTTTTTCCATAYTTGTACTGTTTTGGGTTTTTGCGGTTCATAGATTGCATATTTAGTGCTCTTCCATTGGTATTACAGAAAATAAATCTGAGGATCAATTTTTGGGATGGTTTTTCTTCTTGAGCATGCTACTGTTATGGACTCAGTAACATCTAGTGGAAATACATAGGTACATTGTGAAAGATGCAGTTTTAAATGAATGTGCAAAGGTTGTAGGGCCCTGTGTTTTTGTTTGTTTGTTTTGTTTTTAATTTTGAAGATAGTGTCTCACTAAATAGCTTAGGGCCTCACTAAATTGCCATCTTCCTGTCTCAGCATCCCAAGCTGTGGGATTACAGGCATGACCCACCACTTCCAACTTGTAAATGACCTTTGGATATGAATTTGTTCAACCATCTCTAAGAATTATATATTGCCTATGTGTTCACTAGAGTGAAGGTAGAGAGAAGGAAGTGAGGTGGGAAAGGTTCAAGGCCAAAATGGTCATATTAGAAGAAACCTCACTGGTACATATACACAATGGAATATTACTCAACTGTAACGAAGAATGAAATTGAAGCATTTGCTGGTAAATGGATGGAACTGGAGACATTATACTAAGTGAAACAGCCAATCTCAAAAAACCAAAGGCCATGTTCTCTCTGATATACAGATGTTGACTCACAATAAGGGTGGGGGGGTTCACTGGATTGGACAGGGTGGAGTCAGGGGAAGTTCAAGACCTGTCTCAGCAATTTAGTGAGGCCCTAAGCTATTTAGCCAGACCCTCTCTTAAACACTGAAAAGGGCTGGGGTAATGGTTCTAGTATTGCTTTGTTTCATATAAGTCTGACTTCATAACCTCAATCGTCCTCAGTAGCTGAGATTGTAGGTATGCATTAGTTTAGCAGGTTTTTGTTTTGGTAATTTACAAAATTTGGAAACAACCAAAATCACTGTCAGTATGCAAATGTTTTACAGACTGTGGTATATCCATATAATGAAATATTCAACAATTAAATATTATTCAAATGAGCTACCAAGCCACAAAAGACATAGAACCTTATTTAATGCATATTAGTAAATGAAAGAAGTTAATATGTAAAGGCTACATTTTGTATGATTGCATCTATTTGATACTCTGAAAAAGGCAAAACTATGATCAAGGATTCATGGAGAAGTAAGGAAGAATAAATTAGTGAATCACCAGGGATTTTATGGCAGTAAAACTATTTTGTATGATTCTCTAAGGATGGTATATGTTTGTCAAAACCATAGAATGGAACTGGGGCTGTGGCCTAGCAGTAGAGCGCTTGCCTAGCATGTGTGAGGCCCTGGGTTTGATCCTCAGCACCACATAAAAATAAAGGCATGTGTCCATCTACAACTACAAAAAGATAAGAATTAAAAAAAAAAAAAAAAAAAAGAATGTACCACCTTAAAGAGTGAACCCTTGGCCAGGTATGGTGGTGCACACCTATAATCCCAGGTCTCAGGAGGCTGAGGCAGGAGGATCAAGAGTTCAAAGCCAGCCTCAGCAAAGGTGAGGTGCTAAGCAACTCAGTGAAACCCTGTCTCTAAATGAAATACAAAATAGGGCTGGGGATATGTCTCAAAGTGGTTGAGTGCCCGAGTTCAATCCCCATTACCAAAAAATAAAAAAGTGAACCCTAATGTAAACTGTAGTCTTTAGTTAATAATAATGTATCACAGTTGTTTCATTAGTTGTAACAAATATACCACACTAATACAAGATCTTAATGTAGGAGAAATGGGGAATAAGGGAGTGTTATGTGAGAACCTTGTATTTTCTACTAACCTAAAACTACTGAAAAACTATTTTTTAAAAAACTGAATTTCAGTCATTTCTTATGATTTAACTTAAAAGTACAGTCATCTGCCTTTGTGGGTGATTCGTTCCAGATACCAAAATCTATGGATATTCAAGTCCCTTGTATAAAATTTGTACCTAACGTACACATGTCCTCCTGTATGTTTTAAATCATGTCTAGATTACTTGTAATACCTAATATAATGTATATGTTATGCAATTAATATTATACTTCATTGCTTAGGGAATAATGATGATGAAAACATCTGTACATGGTCCGTACAGATCCAGGTTTTTTAAAAAAATACTTAAGCAGGGCAAAGTGGAGCATGCCTGTAATCTCAGTGGTTAGGGAAGCTGAGGCAGGAGGATCATGAGTTCAAAATCAGCCTCAGCAACTTAGCGGGACCCTAAGCAACTCGTCAAGATCCTGTCTCTAAATAAAATATCAAAAAGGGCTGGGGGGCTGGCATTATGGCTCAGTGGTAGCACGCTGGCCTAGCAAGCATGAGGCCCTGGGTTCGATCCTCAGCACCACATTTAAAAAAAAAAAAAAGGGGGTATTGTGTCCAACTACAACTAAAAAGTAAAAAAAAAATTTTTTTTTTTTAAAAAGGACTGGGGATTGCTCAGTGGTTAAGGACCCTGGGTTCAATTCCCGGTACCTAAAAAATAAATATTTTAAATTCACAGTTGGTTGAATCCGTGGATGCCAACATTTCATACACTCTCAATATGAAGTGTTCTCAGTGTAATGTTTTGCCCTTGACTCCTGCCGTCCCTAGTCTGGAGATGATTGATTTTTTTTTTTTTTTTTTTTTTTGACTGGAGATTGAACCGATGGGTGCTTTACCATTGAGCCACATCTCCAGTCCTTTTGATCTATTATTTTGAGACAGGGTCTTGCTAAGTTGCTGATGGTCTTGCCAGGTTGCTGGCCTCTGACTTGCAATCCTCCTGTCTCAGCCTCCCACATCACTGGGATTATATTATACACCCTGGTTGGAGATACTTGATTTAATTTAACTCCTGCTTCCTTTGATTGTTGTTGGTACTTGCCTAACTACCCTTGGTAGAAAGCAGGAACATGGGTTCAATTGCTCCTCTTACTAATTTTGACTTAGTTCTCCCTTCCTCCTGCTTTCTGTGGTCTGATGCCTCCAATTGCTGAGCTTTAGGGTTTTGTGTTCACTTCAGCTTATTTCTTGTTTCTAGGTGTCCTTTCATACACCAGTATTTAGGTTTTAGCTCATTAATCTCTGCTAAATAATATACCACACTTTATCAGTTCTCAGTCTTGCAAAAATTTGTTGTCTCCTATCTTTTAGTTTTATTTATTTATTTCCGTCCGTCATTCCTTGGAACACTGTACCATTGAGCTACATTCCCAGCCCACCTCCCCTTTTAATTTTGAGACAGTCTCTCTCACTCAATTGCTGAGGTTATCCTTGAACTTGCAATCTTCCTGCCTCAGTCTCCAGAGTAGCTGTGGTTTTAGGTGTACACCACCATGTCTTTCTTTTCTTCTTTTTTCCCACAGAGTAGGAATTGAACCCAAATTCCCACACATACTAGGTACATGGTTTACTACTGAGCCACACCCCCAGCTCTCTTTCCTGTTTCTGTTTGGAAGATTTATGACTTACTTAATATTTATTTATTTATTATTTGGTGGAATTTCTAAGTAAAGAGACATGCCATGTTCAGTTTCTTATTTAACCAGGCTGTTTTTATTTTGGTCACTGATGACTTTTTTTTTTTTTTAATTTTTTCTAGTTGTTGATAGACTTTTATTTCATTCATTTATATGCAGTGCCGAGAATTGAACCCAGTGCCTCACACTTGCCAGGCAAGTGCACTATTGCTGAGCCACAGTCCCAGCCCCTGATAATTTGGTTTTATTTATTTATTTATTTCTGTTTTAAATTATACTAACTTACTGATTTTGTGTCCCTTTAAAGCCTTAGGTATTTCTGTTTGGGATACATTTTAGATGTTGTAAAAAATTGTCTTCAGAATCACAGTTGTGAACTAATACACATTTTTAAAGTTGTTCACAGGGCTTAGAGCTCCTGCCAGAGGATTGCTACTCTTTGGTCCACCTGGAAATGGGAAGACAATGCTGGTAAGAAAAATTTTAAAAGAACTGAGTAATCTRTTGAAATATTAGGGATAATATAAGTTTATTATTCCTGAGTCTGTTATGAATTGCTTTTTGCTATGATATCTTCTCTTTAAATTTTTAAACTAGTTTTCAAAGCAGAAAAAAATGGAAAACTATTTTATCCTCAGTAATGTTTGTGGTATTTTAGAACAGCTTAACTTAGTGTATTAAGTATCTCTCTAACCCCTTTTTTTAAAACTGTCTAAACAACTTAAATAATCAGTATGTTTTAGTTAGTTTGATTTTTTTATTTCCATTTCGTTTACCAATAGTTTTTACCAGTATCTGGATACCTCTTTCTTCTGCATCATTTTTCTAGATGGAAAAGATAAATAGGGAAATAGTAACTTTTCCCTTAGCTATTTGTGTTTTCACCAAAGAAGAGAATAGCATCCCCCACTACCACAACCATGCTATATATTCCCTCTTAGAAAAGAAGAGTGGGAAGAGACACAGTTCTTTCCAGAGCTTTTCCTTTTAGCTGAKAAGGAAGCATTTTTATTGCCATATGTTGGAAATTGTGTCATACCCTATATTTTTAGAGAATCTATTCTAGCACTTAAATTGATCAAATGTGGCTATGTTTTTAAAGTAAGATACTGAATTAATGTATTTGTTCTTCTGATTTTTTAAAGGCTAAAGCAGTAGCTGCAGAATCTAATGCAACCTTTTTTAATATAAGTGCTGCAAGTTTAACTTCAAAATATGTGAGTGTTCTTTTGCTGGTATTGTCATGTTTGTAAGTTAATGTCCAAATGTTACTGTGTTAAGTATAAATGATAATAATATTTTACAAAATATTTTTCTATAAATCTTTTAATCTATATATGATGAATGGTAGTCTTCAAGGTAGAAAGTTGGTATGCAATGTTAGGGTTCTTTAAAATTAGAGTCGTGTTTCAAATACCATAGTACTTTGCTAGGGCTGCATAACAAAGTACCATGAACTGGCTGGATTAAACATCAGAAGTGTATTGCCTTATAGAATTAGATTTAGGAGGCTGGCAGTCCAAGATCGAAGTGTGGGCAGAGATACTTTATTCTGAGGACTATGAGGGAGAATGTGTTAACRTGCCTTTCTACTAGCTTCTGATATGTTGCTGGCAATCTTTGGCATTTCTTGGCTTGTGGACTCATTACTTTTTGGCAGGAGAGAGAGAGTACTGGCAGTTGAATCCAGGATGCTCTACCACTGAGCTATATACCCAACCATTTTTATTTTATATTTTTATTTTTATGTATTTAAAAAATTATTTTAATTGTTAATAGACCTTTATTTTATTTATTTATGTGCGGTGCTGAGTATTGAACCCAGGGCCTCACACATGCCAGGCAAGTGCACTACCGCTGAGCCACAGCCCCAGCCCCTTCAGATTTTATTTTGATACAGGGTCTTGCTAAGTTGCCCAGACTACCTTCAAACTTGCAATCCTCTTGCCTCAGCCTCTTGATTCACTTGGAATATAGGCATGCCCCACCATGCCTGACTAGATGCATCCCTTTCTTTATTTTCTTTCTCTGTACTCAAATTTCTACTTTCTTCTTTTATTTTTAATTTTTTTTAGTTGTAGATGGACACAATATCTTTTTTTTAATTTATTAATTTTTTTGTGTGGTGCTGAGGATCAAACCCAGGGCGTCATGCATGCAAGGCAAGCACTCTACCACTGAACTGCAACCCCAGCCATAAAATTGTAGATGGATACAATATCTTTATATCTTTATATATATATATATATATATATATATTTTTTTTTTTTTTTTTTTTTTTTTTT